AATGGGAAAGGTACATTGTAAATTAAGTACATACAATGTACATTGCGTATGACCTTAATTTGGATAAAAATGCGCCATTGTTGTTTCTTGTCCAGAATTTTATGCAAACTGCACAGTCAAAACATTAGTGATCAAGCCCCCTCCGTTTCTTTCGTTTGATTTATACGATATTTTTGAAGATTTTTGTAGGAATTACATTTGCTTACCTAGCCTAAGAAATTGCTTTCCAACAGTGGAATTTAGGATTTGAATCCAAATTGAGTTCTGGAGGTTAATTGCAGTGCCACAAATGATAAATAAAAATTGATAATTTGGAATAAGATTACTGGCAGTTCTTGTTTCTCTGACGTCTCAAAGTCTATGGATTTTCCATTATTATGTAAGACAGAGGACAAAATGGACAATTTTAACTATACAATTAAGACAGCACAAGACTGCTCCGGTTCAATTTTCACATATTTCATTGATATTATAATTCTTCACATTATGTCAAAAGATCGAGATGGAGCAAACTTGCGCTCGATGACTTTCAATCAAAATATGCACACTTTATTTCTCTGAAAATCATGGAAATTTTGAATTCACGTAATCATCTTGACGTCATATCTAATATATGGTGCCATGACTGATGAAAATGTAATGCGCTTTGAAATCTGCAGATCATCCCGTGGTTTTTGAACATAATTAAAGATTTCTTCACAATCTTGTTTTACATATAAGTCCTAACTGCAGCCAATGGCTCAACGAGTTATATTAACATGTTTTTGATATCCATTGCCGTATCAGACAGCATGTTATCTGCAGAAAATCATCCGCATCGTCATGATCATAAAGATCAAGGGTATTCGCAATTGGAAAGTGAGTCCCTTTTTGTCATCTCGACATCATTGAAACATTCTTGATTATAAATTTTGGTACATGTTACATTCATTTTCTTCATATTAAAGACAATATATTCATATCCTTTATTTCGATTAATGGGATTATATAGGAATAAAGTCAAGAACACCAGGGATATGATTAGTGATACTAATATGCAGGCATCGTAAATTTGGTTGAAATTGACCCAGTGAAAAAGTGGAAAAGAAGTATAAAAAACAGACACCGACAGACATTTGAGCAGGAAAATCTCAACAGAACTGCAGATAGTCACTATTTAAATATCATACATGTAGGGCATGTTCTCTCATTTTTCAATGAGCCCCTTTTAATTTATTTCAATATGTCATATTTTTAGCTTTATGGGTGTACTTTAAGACAACTCAACTATAAAACCACAAAAAATGTATGAAACTTTATATGCAAATTTAACAATCGATTAAAAATTTTCAACTTTAAAACCTTAGTGAACTTAGTCGCGTTACTTTTCTTATACTATGAAATGTACAGTTTCAGGCCGTTTACTTCTGGTGGATCGATTTCATCACCGTCGACGACGTCTCCTTCGTTGTCTTCGCTGCTTGACGTATTGATGATGAATAGCAGCCTTTCTGGCACGCCTCTCTTTCCCTGTCATTGGTCGTTTTCTAGGTCTTGATGTTGTTTTTGTAGTTTTCTTTGGTGGTGTCGACCCTTTTTTTGATGGAATAAGACAGCCTAGGGAAACTATAAATGAGAAATTCATGCTATGAAACGTCTGTGTTTAATACTTTTGTACCTAGAATATCTATGATGTTTTTGAATGAATTAAATTTGATTTGAATTGAGTGGCATAATTTGTAATTGCCCTTTTGATTCCAGAAAATTATCTACATATTAACGATAAAAAAGAGAACTTAAACAAAGATTCTGCGCATTAAGTAAAACTATTATTTAATGCTAATAATAATTAAGACACAAACCTTTGCAATAATTCTGACTATAAATCATCACAAACTTATCATTCATGGGGTATATGATACACTTATTTTAATGGTGATGTAACTTACTTCTGGGGACACAGACTACAGAGGGAAAAATCCCCATTCCTTTACTCCTCAATTGTTTTCTTTATGCTGCTAAAACAAATACATACTCTATCAGAAAACACGTTGTACAGTGTATCGCGTTAGAAACACACACACTTCAGTAATCATCACGGAATTACACTGAAATCGTTACGAATACACTCGACACATCCGGATACCAATCTCCTATGCAGAGTTGTCGTTCGTTTCTCTCTCAGAGGTGAATGTATGAGTGATCCGGATACATGAAGACCCGCATATGGATAAACAATAATAAAAGCATGTATGTTGGGACCAAGATGCCTTGAAAGGACATAGCGTAAAGACCACAAACAATTTATATTTCTTTATCATCTCCCTGCTATTTCAGCTATGACCAGAATTTGTTGTCTTTCCCAAAAAGAAAGGCTTTTATCACCAATTGCTTGCATACACTGTAGGTTAACATTACCAAAATGTATCCTATTATTGCTCACAATGAAAATATGAATTGAATGTAACAAATTTTATTGACAAAGTCAAAAGGATCAAACACAATTTCTGTAACTTAGATAGTTTGTTAAATAATCGGAAAATCATGGGTTCTTTCGTATTAATTATTTTAATGAAACTAATGTGTTCTGTGGAAATTCACGCTTTGATAGGCTGATGGTTTGCCCATGATTTGTAGGCTTTTATATTATTTACACTACCTACGTATACCCTATTTTAATACATTGATGTACTAGGTGTGTCATTTAGGATCGTTAGAAAATTTAAGCTTTCTCTGCATTCGCTGGAATGTGTGTTTACATGTACACGTAATGGTATAAAACAGCAAAATACATATCCTGTTTAGTTCAGGACCTACTTTGTCTATGGTAAGGAGATGTATATGCAATGAAAATAGCCCAGAATATAATAACATGTATTGAAACAGTTAATTAATCAACATACTAAAACGTACTATAATAAAAAGTTTTATCAAATAGCACATGAATATATATCAGTCTCGATTTGGAAGTTTGCTCTTCACAATTGACATAATCACGAATTTGGAACAACTCTTGCTCATATTCGTTATGCACAACTGTACACAATTATATAATAGGATGTCGCCATGTTGTTTGTGTTCAAACGTAGCGAATTTTCTTTAAAGACTTTGTTAAATACACATGATAATGCGTTTTAAGTTGTATATTCATTGCCAAAAAGAATGATGTTTCATCTGTGCATGTTGAAGATAAGATCGGCTGAAGTAGAAAGTTAAGAGAAAGTTCATAGTAATATTTATACACACACAAACACACCCACTCACACACATAGATACAGAGAGAGAGAGAGAGAGAGAGAGAGAGAGAGAGAGAGAGATTGAGAGATTCTTGTAATGATATAAATAAAAAAATCTTCATGCGTCACAAATATGTGGTAGTCTTGCAAGCTTACTCATTCCTTGAAATAATGTCACCTTTTGATGCTCTTATCATACAGGAAATATTGGAGTACTTGTCAAAATTATGAGATTCTTTTGAGAAAATCTTTTATAACATAATTCTAACACATTTTAAAATCATATTGTCAGAATGTGCAGAGACGTAGATATACACTGTAAAAAATGTGCTTAGGAAATAAACACTTCCATTACGTGTTTAGATCTAAACGTGTTTGATATTGTGTTTAACAACAAAACACTTATGTCTAAATGTATTTAAAATCTATACGCGTTTAGATATTGAACATGTTTTTTGTTTTAAATTCGGTCAAATGCAGAGTTATCTTCCCGGAAATTATACATATTTGAACGTTAATAAGCGCGGTTGTCGAGACAAAGAAAATCACAACAAAACAGTAAACGATGTTTTCAAAAAAGCTGATGAGAACTTGAGTGCCAACCACCGCAGAAATAGTGAAATACTTGTGAAAGGCTTATTGTTATTTTTATTATAAGGTATGTATGCATTTGTTTATATATAAAATGAACATGATGGTCAAAGTAAACAACATTTCACTTTATATCAAGGATGTCTTTCGGGGTCAAATCATGTATTCATTAATGAGAGTAAATATTAAATCTATAGTTGCAATAAAATTGATTTAAACATTTTTATTATATGCTTGTAATTAATGTAAAACTTCAGTATGTTTAATGAGGAGCACATACTATTACTTAAATGCAACGTACGTCCTTTCTTACAGGTTAACGTATTTGGATAGCCTAGAGAAAGAACTCTGTTAATGGATCTGAAAGAAGAATTATACTGCCATAGAAAATACTTTCAAGATTATCCAGATACTCTGCTGTTTCGTTTACATCACGACGGATTTGAAATAGTGAACCGTATTGCATCACACTGCAAGAAGCACACCATAGCTGGAGTCTTTTAAATATATATTTACTTTGTATTGTGCTACTGGTACAAAATGCAGACAATTCAACAACTTGGGTGTTACTTACTCTTTAGATGCCAGTAGTTTTATATGTCAGAACTATCACTTTACTGTGTGTTAGGTTTTTTTCAAAATCATTTTAATATGATGTTTAGAAGTAAATAAAAGTTAAAACGGACACACCTTTTATACTTTTAGTTTTCTTGCAGATCCTTGTTTAAAACATTGAAGTGTTTAGCTTCTAAACACAAATCTAAGTGTTTAGAATTGTGTTTAAACACTAAACATGTAAGTATTTAGGTTTAAAACACTTTCCAGTACGCGTATTGAAATTAAACATGTTTAAAATTTAAACGCATTAAAAAAAGTGTGACAAGAATGTGCTTAGAAATGTGTCTATCATCTAAACACATTTTTTACAGTGTAACTGTGGAAATTGAGTTAAGACTTTACTTTCAAATTAGAGTAACAAAGGAAATTCTACTCAAAAGACACCATTCTTTTGTCATTCTGAAGTCACGTGATAGTAGAAAGTTTTAAGTAGCTGGTTAAGAATGAATTTCAAGACCTTCAACAGGAAACACTTGGAAATTCATAAAACTCAGTACCATGCAATTCAAAATACTATTTAAAAGCTATGCACTTTTGTTTATCGTTCAGTGATCTAATTCATTTTTTTGGTTAACCGCTTCTTATACACTGTAGCCGTATATACGTAAGCAGCTTTGTTAATACTGTCAGTTTTTCCTATAACCGTTATAGTCCCGAGAGATAAAAAATGAGAACGTGTGAATTATTCATTGTCTTCCTTTTAATGGGATCAGTGTTTGATTGTGATGGTGGAAAAACGTCTCTTCAAGACATTTTGAAAAGAAGTATTGATAATAATCCGATAAAATTGAGAGGTAAGATACTAACAAAGGTACGTAAAAACATTATTGCTGATACAGGTAACAAATCACTATTAATTTCTAAATGGAACACTTTATTGATTCATACCTATGTTCATAGTTTTATTCGTTATTTTCATTAAAGTTACAAGTTTTACTAGGGAAAAGAAATATAGTTAATAAGATTTGAACAATAAAATATGTAAACAGCAACTTATCTTGAGTGTTGACAAGCTACAAATTGTTCAGCTAGATGAATACGTACAAATCCAGGCGTGATGTGACGTATAAAATCATTACGAATTATATAAGGGAGGCTAAAAAGAATCATCTCAATTTTATGAAGTTGTTTATCCATTAGGATATTGCACTCGAAAGGATCATGATTTTCAGCACAATATGTTCATACATATTTATCTTAAAAACACTCAAGTGAACTTCATAAAATTCAATTCAACCCAAGCATATTTTATATGAAGCATAAGACTAGTCAATACTGATTTAGTTTATTTCGAATCAATGTAAACAGGACTATCCCAAATGAAATAATTCACATCCAATTTTTATTGTAGATCATGGGAAAGACAATTCACACTGAAAAATTTCAATCTCAAAATTAATTACTTAAAAGTGTTCTTTTTTTGTCTTCCTATGTATCATTACTTTGGAAAACACCTGTTTTACAGTTTTTAATCCAAAATATATTACAGGACAGGCCTTATAGGACTTACTTTATTGTGATGCAATGACATAGATAAGCGTTATAACCTATCCAATTATTAATAAACTTCGGAACAAGTTAAACAAATACATGTATCTATCATGCTTGTGATGTGTTTATCAACTTTTATCTGAAATGTTGTGTAGACTAGCCGTGATAGACATTTACATGTGAATACTCTATATTTTGGAGATTCCCTTTAGGCATAAATGGGCAGGTGGCCAGGTAGTTGAGAGAAATTTGTCACATTAGTTGATATAATTTTGTTATCTTTTTTTTTTAATGCATTTTTATCACAATGCTGAATCTATTACTGGAAAATTGAGATAGTTTTTTTAAACAACGGATTTTATACTTTACAAATAAAAGATCAGAGTTTGATATAATAATTTAAATGTGCTGAATACGAGGGTTGTCCAAAAAGTTCGTGGACAATGGCGTTTTTGTCAAAATGAATGGTTCAAGATATGCTTATTGTATACCCAAATATTAGTCATGAAAATCCAAGTCGGAATAGTTTGGTTTTTATTGTTTGAACTTAATTTTTTTGTAAAAATCTCGCTCATTAAAGGTCGCCGATAGTGCGCACGGACCAGGGTTAAAATGCCATGAACTTTTAAATAAAGTGATCTGATTGAAATGATTATTTTCTTTTTAAAACGAGTCAAAACTGAATAAAAATTTAATATATCACAAATAAAGCGGTTATCGCCATTTTTTGATTCCTTTAGTATCGCTTACTAAACAGACAATGAAAATATTAAGTGAAAACCGCAAGAAGTATGTTTCAAAAATTGACAGAAAAAGCGACGTCGGCCATCCGAATGGGACAGCGTCCAATCATACAATTATGGTTAATATGGTTGAAACGTCGTCAAAAACAAAATATTTATTCAAACAACTTAAATTTATTGGAAAATATTTAGTCTAGTGATTTGTAATTGGTGTATACGATTTTTCAACGGTGTGTAAAATTTCGGAGACACTACAAGAAGTGGAAACTACTGTTATTTGATGAAAATAGGATATATTCCTATTCATGACGTTGTTATAAATATAGCGCCGTCGGGCTGGGCTGTGCATCCTGTGTTTACGAAGTGTTAATATTAATGACGCTCGTAAATTATTGTGTATTGTTTTGAATTTTAAAATTTAGATTAATTATAATCTATACATAAATATTATTGCACACATTTGGCAATGTGACATAATAAAGAAAAATAGCGTGTGTCAATGAACATGCTGTAAAAATTCAAAAATTCATATTTCTGACGTTCCCTAACAAAAAATACTATAGTAAACTATAGTTAACTATAGTTTACTATAGTTAACTATAGTAAATCAAAGTTTCAAAGTTTTCACTATAGTAAATCAAAGTTCCAAAGTTTTTACTATAGTAAATCAAAGTTCCAAAGTTTTTTCATTAATTTAACAACTAATGTATTTTTATTATTTTTTTTTTATTATTTAGCCGTTTTTGGGAAGGGGGTAGATATGGGGTTGATTGGGGCTGGTTTTTGTTGTACATCTTATTTAAAAATACAAAGTATTTAATTCAAATGCAATATTTACATTTATAAATTTAAAAAAAATACACGTTGACTGAAGTTGATGAAGCAGATATTTTGATTCTAAATGACACAATTTTTTTTATAATATATTATTTTTTTTCCATAAATAAGACTGTTACATCTGCATAACATTAAAATGAAATGCATTGAAATAAATATTGCTTATTTATCGGCGCAAACGACAATTTTTAAATTAAAATTCATATCTTGCACATTGTTCTTTTATGGGAGGGGTCGGGCTTTTAAAATGTTCTCTAAAGCTTTTATAAATGTTAAACTTGAAATATCATAAAATGTAAAGAACGGGAATCAAAAACATAATTCCACTGGATTTATCGTACTTAATCAAAGTTTCAAGGTTTTTACTATTATAAATAGTAAATCAAAGTTCCAAAGTTTTCACTATAGTAAATCAAAGTTCCAAAGTCTTCACTATAGTAAATCAAAGTTCCAAAGTTTTTACTATAGTAAATCAAAGTTCCAAAGTTTTCACTGTAGTAAATCAAAGTTCCAAAGTTTTTACTTTGGTACTATAGTTAACTATAGTAAACTATAGTTTACTATAGTAATTTTTTGTTAGGGTTATCATGAAAAAAGCGTTACGTCAGACTGGCCCATGCGACTTGCATATACAAAGTATTTACACCTATAGTGTTCAGTAAATAGTGTGCATTGTTTTAATATTTTGTACATTTACTCAATCATGGTCTATATTAAGATATTATCGTACATGTTTGCCATTGCGGACTTAATAAAGAAAATTAAGCATTTGTCCACGAACTTTTTGGACAACCCTCGTATAATCTGCATTTATTTGATACATAGATGGTAGCCGTTCAAGAAACAATGGTATATACAACACCGGACCAAAAATTCGCTGTCCAGAGAGGAACTGTCCAAGAGGATAGACCTAACATCAACTTAACTCTAGATCCTGTTGAATTCCAATGTTTGAATACACCGAAGAGGAATACGCGTACGGCTAGAATGTTCTTTCAAAACAACTCCCAAGATGTTCATTTAAACAGAATAAAATTCATCATACTGCTGTCACACTTTTGTCCGAGGGAAAATGGGTATTGTCACAGTTGAAAATATTCTTGAATACAAGAAATATCTTTAAAGGATGATCGTTAGGCAATATCCGATTCATTGGTTTTTGAAACTGCTTAATTTAATACTGCTTTAGTACAAGATATCAATTTACTAAATATTTATCAGTATACCTGGAGGGGATTATCTATTTTCTTTCATTCTTGAACAGTAGTTTCTCTCTCTCCCTCCAAAGCCAGTGGATTTTATGATAATTTTTTTAGAAGATATTGTAAATCAATCACCTAAACTTTTAATTGACAGTATATGGGATAAAATGGGTAAACCCGAGGGATTTAATTTTATTCTTAAACTATGATAAAGGGTAACCGTTTCCATCGTTGCAACTTTCTCACAATTACAGTGATCACTAATGGAACGGAATGAACTGAATACATATAAAGTATTTCCTTTGATCATTTTCTCCTGAGGAATATCAGTATAAATACCTGAAGTATTTCAAGAGCTATGGAAATTAGAATGGGAACACAGTACCTACATATGGAGTTTATGTTTTCCAGTTGATTAAATATGCAAGAGAATTTTTTTTTTAGATACGGGCGATTTCTTACGAGGTAAGCTATTGACAAATAAATCAATGGTACAAGGATATCATCAATCCCTTTTGAAGTCAACATTACGCAAATACTATGGTTTTGTAATATTGTAATGACCTTGTTATCAAATATAATATATCAAAAAGTCGAATGCTGACTGACGTTTCTCATATAAATTGTCAGGTCTTTATTTCATACTGAATTGTCTAACGGATTTTTTTCCCTTTACCCACTCATGACAAGGAGCACAAGGGTGGTGTGACGATCAACAGAGGATGTTTACTCCTCCATGACACCTTGTTTTTGGAGGACCGTGTTTGCTCCTAGTTTGCATCGTTGCAATGGACTTTTGAGCTTAATTACTGTTCGTTATCCTCGTATTTCATCATGTTAGCCTCAAAATGTGCCTAAAAATTAAATCATCTATATTCTATTATGGAATAAAGTTCTTTTTTTAAATTTTAATACACCATAATCAAGCTCATTTCAGTTTTTGAGATATTCTGAATAATAATAATCAAACGTATGCTCAATTCAAATTTATTTAGCGATGATATGTATTGACAAATTGCATGCATAATTTAAAAAAAATATTATCAACCCTAGGGCAGATGGCATGAATCATTAGGCCTTTAATAAAATGAACTTTCCTCAGGCTCAACCATGGCATCCTATTCATAATGCAACATGCTGCCGTGTTGAAACATGATTCAAAAAACAAATGATGAATTAATTAAAGATCAAATAAGGATAGATATCGTCACAAACCATTGACTAAATAAACTACACATGTATGTCGGAAGATAGGGATCGGAATATGTATATACTCATGTAATATTAATCTTGGCTACTTTAAATCTTGATTTTTTTTAATTCTTTGGAAATATTTGAAGAATTTCAATTTGTTGAATTGTTAAAAATTTTGATTTTTGTGTTATATTGCACGTTAAAATAAATGCCATTCGCATTTTTTAAATTTACAAATACTTCACATGTCATATACATGTACCATATAAGTTACAGATGTTAAATAATCAATTAAAATGGATTTCATATATACTGCCACAGGTCATCTACAAACTTACTTTGTTGACGACCATTCCGGTTCTACACAAAAGGACTCTGGGTTTGATAAAAAATACTTGAATCCTTCATTGACAATATATTTGTGGTCTTTGTAGACCAGTTCTTCCAAAAATCTGTTAGAATTCCCCTGGGTACTGATTGTAATCCATGACTAGCAGACTTGGTTTTATATTCTTATGATGTAGACTTTATTCAAAAACTTCTTCATGAAAAGAATTTCTTTTTGTGGCCCTCAATTCGGCATAAGATTTATCAACGGGGGGATGACTAGTATAGTTTGGTGTCTTTAGGAGCCAAACGATACATGAAAATACTGTACATGAGTTAGGAAATGATGCATCCATAGATATTTATTTTATCAAATCAAAGCATGTATTCTTTGTATCAGACAGTCTACGTGAAAAGATATGACAGAAACCTTGGTTCAATTATTTTTTTACTTTTCCAGAGGCGATGTCATTGGTAATTATTCATTTCTGCATGGGCAGTTACAGGACTGCAGGTGCATTACTGAATAATATACAATTATGGACTCTCTCAGTGGTGAATATGGTTTGTTATTCACCAGAAAAATATCAATATTGACTGAGGCGACTGAGGTGAATAACAAACCATATTCAGCACCGAAAGAGCCCATAATTGTTTTATTATATAGTCTGGATTTGAATAGATAAGACATTGAAGATTGCATAACGATACCTTTTTTATTAACGAACCTCTGTCGTAGAAAAATTAAAAAAAACCCCTACAGATTACAACTTATCATCAATTCCTTGTAAGGACCAAAAATGCTTGGCCACGCACTTCCGTGATTTCATTTCGCTGTGTGTAAGACATCGAAATGTTTGGAAAGTAATCCTGCAATAGACTTGCCCAACATATTTCCTGCTCAGATACACAGCTGTCTCCGGCCGTTGTAACCATATTGTTTTCAACGTTGGGGTATTGATTGTGACGTCACACTGCATGCGCACTGACCCTCCGGTGAATACGGCTCACAGGCGTCGGAAGCAAATTGAAAGTGGGATGGGGGGGGGGGGCTAAACCAACAAAATAAGCCCCAATTTTCAATGCCTATATTATGTCTATCTTTGCAAAAAAAGTGAGGAGGGCTAAGCCCCCGTAGCTCCCCCCCCCCCCGGTTCCGACGCCTATGCGACTTCAAATCCAGTGAATATGTAGTGTTATGAACCGTTTGTGTTTGTATAGATTATATAGGGGCTATTTATAGACTGTATAATAAAAGGTCTTGTTAAAAATAAAATGCTTCATACGTTGAAACAATAAATTTATTACAAATAAGTTAAGACTCAGTATTAATGGCCATAATTATCAATCGATCAAACAAACGATGCAAAACAGTGCACATCTTGTTTTGCTGACAGATTAATTAAACACCTTTAACACCTGAAGAGTGTACACACATCGATCCTGATTCGTACATAATGTATAATACATATACATTATACTAGAGTAATTTCATGATATGAAAACGATAGGACTACCTTAATTAACCATTTTGCTTTAGTGATTTATACTTTTGAGATATTGATAGTGACCATCGTTACAAGTTATCGTAAGACGACAAAATGACCACAGATCAATTATTCATTGTTCTTCTACTGACTGAGACTGTGTTTCTATGGCAGGAAGGGAAATCGGAGTCTCAAACTCTTTATAACATTGCAAAAAGAAGTGTTGAAAATACTGCTTGGACTAAGTTTAAGATAGGTGAGATGTTAATTATTGTACATTTCATTTCTTGTTAGAAAGGAAACGATATGTTTAATGTACTTTTGAACCGATCACTTACTTTTATAAAATATATAAAGCTGTTTTCTTTCTTTAAATTCAATAAGCATTTAAAAAAATATTTTCGTCCACGTAAGTTAAGGATTAATGTTTTCTAGCTGAAATTTAGTTAGAAAAGAAACCCTCAAAACATTACGATAATTATGAAATATAACTATGTATCGACGACAATTATAATCTGCATCAACAGTAGGGGTAATATGTACATATAGAAAAGAATACCTACTTGGAAAAGGACACAAATAAACAAGAGCATAATGAGCAGCTGTACTGTAATCCATGATGATAGCAAATGTTAAAACTCTAAATCATTCATGTTTGTGACAATTTGAAAAAACAAGAGGACAGTACAATTAAATATATACCAGTAAAAATTTGTTCGTACCTGGTATTACTGACAAGTAAAAGTTGTGGAACATAATATTTTCCCCCTTTTATATTCCATTTTTTCCTTATTCATTACATGTCGAGCAACCCATCATGGGTGTTTAGACGTTAACAATAGTCTCTCTCTATAGGAAAAGTATCAAGCAGGAAAAGAATAAAAGGAATTTACAACACGGGACCAAAAAGGCGCTGTCGAAGAAGACGTTGTAGAGGGTAGTCATTATTAAAGTGCTTCTCGTATATTTTGAATTGTACTGGCTCTCAAGGAAGGGGAAAACAAAAACAAGGATTTTTTTCTATGCTTAATTTATAGAATACATATGTTGATTATTATTATGTAATAAATTGTACAAAATCGTGTGGTTACTTTTGTTTTATTTTGTATAATTACATGTAGGTACCATTTAAGTGGAACTTTTAGCGAGACGTAAATTTAGCGATTTATCAGAAAAAAAATTGGTATAGATTTTTAGCGAGAAGTAATTTTAGCAATTCTATAATGTCCATAAGATAGCTTTATCAACCGATGCAGAATAAATTGCCCTGAGTGCCGAGTAAAGGTCTAAATTTGAAGCCCTTCACCGGTATATGATGACGTCTCTATATGAGTGAAAAATTCTCGAACTGGACGTAAAACAACATATTATCAATCAATCGGTACTGAGGTCATTGTTCATCACGTTAGTTGCTAGCAAAAGGGATTGTCAGGAAGAAAAGATGTTATATAAGTTGATCACTGTCATTACCACCAGGCCTCTTGATCTAACTCACCATTTTTTTTCAGAAATGAATTCAGACATGTAGGAACCAGTCTTACTACATGTGTATGTTGCTCATTAAAAACAAAACAGCAGAATTAAATTGTTCTATACTGATTTAACGAGACATCCAAATTGTCATACATACAAATCATAGCAACAATGATCACTTAAGAAAGCAAACCATTGCCTTAAAACATTATCTTAAGTGTATTGTACTCTTTGTATTTTACTATTTTTGTTTCTGGTACTTGAATGATTCACAGGGAAACTGAAAACTGATATCCGGCATAAAAACTGCTAGAGTGATGGAATGCTAGACTTCGACTGAAACAGGAAATAAACCATTTAGAGGAT